AGATGTTGTGCCTCCCCCTCCCATCAACGGGAGTAAAGGACACCTGGCATTTGGAGTAGAGCAGGGTTCTGAAAGTTTGCAGGAGACATTTTCACACCAGGATCTGAGTGTGGTCTGGAAAAGTTAGTCAGGTAGAGGAATTCCCTTCTCAGGTACTCATCCTTCCAGATCCTTCAGATACCTACAGGCAATGGATAAAGGAACCAGGACCTCCAGGATACTGAAGGACATACAGAACAATGTGAGACTTGAAAAATCTGAATCCAGAACATAAAATGATAAAATCAAATCGAGTAATTTATCTCTGCTGCCATGATTAAAATATACTACCAAATAAATAAATAAATAAGCAAGCTGAAGAAGAAGGGCTCATTTTCTCTCATGAGTCCAGGTTCCAGGCTATCATTATAGAGAAGTCAAGCAGAGGCTCGAGGCAGATCCACACTCAAGGACAGAGAAAAATGAATGCATACATGCTTAGTGCTCAGCTAGCTCTCTCTACTTCAATATATCCAAGGGACCCAATCCTACTCACTTTCAGGACAGATCTCTCCACATCCATTCTGGCAACCAAGACAATCTTCCACAGACATGCCCATAGACCAACCCAATCTAGATAATCCAGGAGATTCTCGGTTGTATTGAGCTGGTAACTAAGCTAGCAGTCATGCTAATGTTTTCATACATAGCAATATTCTCATTTCATCAAGTTACATAAACAATTCATGCTGTGTTAGAACCTGAGTTTGGACCCCAACATCTACATAAAAATCCAAGCGTAAGGAGTGGGGGAAGCCCTAAGTGAGTGAAGTCCATAGAGAATGTATTATTTTCACAGGAGCATGGCCTGAGACCAACTCGCCCATGGTAAATTGGCAAAAACAGCTAAGGGACCAGCTAAGGGGCAGAGAACCTCATGCGATCCCAGCTTTGTTGTATGTGTGTCTGTCCTGTTTTCATTTTCTCACAGTTGCTGCTAGCCAGGGTTAAACTATGAGGTGAGGCTTTCTGTTCTTGGGATAGGGTTCTATCCAGGGTTCTAGTACCCAAGCCTCACAGGAAGCAGCATCCAAGCACCACAGCATGGACAGGTAATCTCAGTACTGGGGCAGCAGAGACAGAAAGTGTTCTGGGGCTTGTTGGCCAGCCAGTCTAGATAAATCGGTGAGGTACGGGTTCAGCGAGGCCGTGGCTCAAGAAAATAAGATGGAGTGCGATGGAGTAGGACATTTGATGTTGACTTCTATTCTTTACACACACATGCACATCATACATGCACATGTACACATGCCATCACACACATCACACATGCACACACACACCACACATATGCACACACACATACACACACCCCCCACATGGCTACACACATATTTTCCCCCTAGGCAATCTTTCCTCCTTATCAGAGACAAGACCCAGGCTAGAAATCCTGTTCTCCAGCAACAGGAAACCTGTGTGGTTTTCCAAGAGATAACCCTCTCTCCTGAAACAGGAATGAAGAAATACATACATCTAGATGTCACTCAGTGAAAAATTTACATTTTACTGATACCATGCCCCTGGTCCTAGTTAAAGGACTATCTTTGAGGTCTGAACACTACTTTGTGAAGGGTCTTGCTTCACACTTATCTATAAATAACCTTACACATATAGAAGATATTCCCCACATATGGACGGACCCTTTAGCAGATACATAAAATTATATACACGTAAAAACAACACTTATCTGTAAAACTATGGTTCAGTACAACAATATGGTTATACTTTATAGGTGCATAGATACAAATCATATATAACTTTTATATCTTTAAACACTAGAGTGGTGCAATGAGCCACTCTAGTATCGCTGCTCTTCAGAGAATTTCAGGTCCCACCCTAGAAAGAGGGCAAGGGTGCAGGCATGGCCTGGGCAGTGCTTGGCACTTTATTGATGGGGAGTAAAGGGGAGAAAAGAAACTTTGAACTGACTCACCCTCTTAAGATCTTTCCAACTGCAACTCCCTTGCCTGGTCGTACCAAGAACAGAAAGCCTTGACTTGTGGTTTCAATTTGTATGTATGTGGGTGGGTGTCTTGTCTACCTGTATCTCTGTGCACTGCTTGTATGCTTATTGCCCTTAGAGACCAGAAGAGGGGCAACAGATCTTCTAGGACTCCAGTTACAGATGGTGAGCAGCTGTGTGGGTTTGGAGAATTGCACCCAGGTCCTCTAGAGCAGCACATAACTCCTGAACCATCTCTCCCACCCCATTCATCATTTTGATACAACTAAATCAACAGTCCTCTAGCCTTGTAGAAAGGTCATTTCCTCTCATAAAAACTTGTCAATTTATGAGAAGATATGTCCCAGTTACAAGGTCTTCTGGACCTTGTAGGTGGCCAGAACAATAGATAACAAAGCACAACCCATCCCTAACCAAACTATATACAGATACCAGAGATTAGGTACAATGTACTTGCCAAGAATGTTATGCGCGTATTTATCGAGACATTTTTCCTTGCAAGTAATTGGATCACAATTTAGATGGCCTGAACCAACAATATTATTCCACAATGTTTTAGAGACATGTGCTCTAGCAAGAAGAAATCAGTGGTGCAGATTTCAGAAGGGGAAACTGCATATGTCACTATACACCTAACACCTTTTAAAAACTAATCAGAGTTTGAGAATGTGGTAATTTACAAGATACACATGCAAAAAGCAAAGTCATACTTTATCAATGACCACTCAAAATAGAAAAGGAAAATAGCCCATTTATACCAAAATTTCTCCCAAACCAATAAAATACCTACGAATAAATTATAATAAAAATATAGGCACAGAAAATAAGTTAACAAATTTTTATCAACAGATATAAAAGATCTGAAGCAGCAAAAAAGCAGACTAATTCTGAATAGGAAGATATCAAAGAAAAATCCTGCTAATGTTCCTCAAATTAGACAAGAAGACATCTTATATGATATTAACAGAGCCTTAGTGGTGTACTGGTTTTTTGTGTGTTTGTTTGTGTGATTGGCTGGTTGGTTGGTTGATTGTTTTTTTTAGAATCAAACACAATCATTTTGAATTTTAAGAAGGAAAAGTGCATTCTGGAACCCAACAAGAAAATTCAGAAAGATGAAAGTAGAGCTTGGGCACATATCTCCCAGACACGAACTTATTATGAAGCTTCTTAATCAGAATAGGGTCTGATCATGGGTGGATGAGTCAGTCAGTGGAACAAGAATGAGAATTGAACAGCAGAAGCAAGGAATTCAGAAAATTAAATATGATACATGGGCATTTCAGTGTAGAGGACAAATAATGGAACTAACAGTAAATGACATTAAGGCTGTCCTTTGAGAAGACACCCACAGTGTATTCTTTACACTATATCTTTTAAAACATCTCTTGCCAGAAAGTAAAATAAACTTGTTAACAGTGGAAGAATTAAACACTCTAACCACAGCATGGAGAAAATGTGCATATGAGTTTGACTGGTAAAGAAATGAACAAACTGAAGTACAAATGTTATCAAAGATAAATTTCTTCGGTTTGATTACCCCAACGGGAAAATTCCGAATGGGAACAGATGAAGAGCCATCAGAGGAGAAACACCTGCAGAACATGCAAAGCCACTAAATGCTAGTATGCCTATTCCTCAAGAAGCTTGTAGGAGCTCATCATTAAATATTCCTGTCTAGAGTATGTGAGTCCATAATTCATTAAATGACTAATATGCCCATGAAAACAAGCAGTGAAAACTGAAGCCAGCCCTGTGTGGGACGTCTTGCCCAGAAAAGCCAACAGACTTTAAAAGCTAGACAATGTCAAGACTTGAAGATGCTACGAAAAGACCCAAACTCTCATGATTTCTTTCTGTTAGTGTGAAAATTTAAAAATAGTTTCTCAAATACCTTACCCACCCACTTTACTTCCTAGAACGCTGGCCTATAGGGCTAAGCCAAGTGTGTGGAAACACTGGATGTAAGGAAAGCATTTGAGACTACTTAGCACAGTCTTGTTCTTAAAAAGCAAAAGCTAGGAAATCTCTATCCACACTGGCTGATTAAACAGAGTCATAATGTCACCAAAATAGAAACTGTCATGCAATCATTTAAATGGGAAATGTCAGGAAGTGCTTGGAATAATATCTAGTACTTACTGAAAAATAAAAAAGGAAAAATAAAGAACAGTATGCCAATGATTTACATTAGACATATGCAAGCATGCAAGACTCGAGCAACACTGCATAGGGAATAACTCAGGATTGACAGCAAGGAAATTTTCATCTCATTGTGGTTTCCGCTATTAGTTTTTCAGAACAGACCATGGATAGGAGGGAAAGTACCAGGCAGCCATCAAACCACACACATCGAAAGGATCCATAAACACAGCAGCAAATGTACTCTGCTTCAAGTGCTCACTAACTGGTTGTCATTAAACAAATTCCTACATTGAAAACAATTCAAAAATACCATTGGATGATTCATTAATAGAAGAAGTATACTTCCAGTGTCTTCCCTTGTCAATAAAAGTGGTCCAAATCCTCCACTTACTCTGTTTCCCCAAATAATGCAGGTTGGTGATTATGTACAAGAATGTCAGTGATGTACACACAATTCAGGAAGCAATATTCATAAATCCCCCTTGTTTTTTTTCTCCCTTCTCTCTTCTCTGGCCTACATTCCTCCTATTTTATTCTCTCTGCCTGCCAGCCCCGCCTATCCCTCTCCTGCCTAACTACTGGCTATTCAGCTTTTTAATAGACCAATCAGGTGCCCTAGGCAGGCAAGGTGAAAGAAAAACAACAGGTCTTTACATAGTTAAACAAATGCAATAATAAGTAAATTAACAAATGAACACATTCTTACATTTACTAACACAGGCAGCAGAAACAAATGTAACAACTTCACATAGTTAAAGTAATATTCTACAGCACAAATATAACACATCTTTGCCTAGTTAAAATGATATTCCTCAACACTTCTCTTCACGTGCTAGAGGAGAGTGAAAAATACCTTGGAAATCGGCTTTCCCTGGTGGCAGTTGATCCCACCAACGAAGACTATGTTAGGCATCATAGGTCTAGGGACCTCCAACATAAAGTCTGTGCGTAACAACCACATGGACACTTGACTAACGAGGTCATCCATAGTCACTGGGGTCTGGAGAACTTCAGAGGCAATTTCTGTAGCAACTTTGAAAAGGGTAGGGCAAAATGCACGTTCCATCATGTAGGCAAGGTGGTTCCACACCCTCTCCGTGAAAGTCATGGTGCCTATTAATTTCAAATGAGCTCTGGGAACATAAGAAGGAGGGCTGGGGCACTGGGCACCCTCTTCAAGATAGTGACAAAACATTGTCCTACCGAAGACCACCGACGGGAGTGACAAGTACTTGGCAACAGTTAAGCCGCACACATCAAAAGGATCCAGAAACACAGCATCAAAAGAACTCTGCTTCAAGTACTCCACTAACTTCTTGTCGTTAAACAAATCCCTACAGTGTGAAAACAGTAATTCAAAGAACCGTTGGGCTGGACTCCCTAGTATAGGAACCAGTCCCTCGTGTTGAGGTTTCCATTGAGCATCCATAAAAAACTTGAACTCGCGGTTTAAATCCTCTATGGTGTGAGAAATTGAATACGTCTTCACTGTAAAATTCAGGGATTTTCGCAGTTGCCAACTCACCTCTGGCACGACTACCACCACCTCATGCCCTCTGTGGATGAGCTTTTCCACAACCGACTGCATGGTGAACCAGTGGCTCCCATCCATGGGGACCACCAGCAGTCTGCCTGCCTGGGCAAAGCCAGAGGCCAGCAGCAGACACACACACAGGGGAAGGGAGGCTGGAGAACCTGCAGGAGCCATGGAGAAGCAGAGCCCAGCTGAGGCACTCCAGCTGCTGAGACTCTGAGCTCTTCTAACAAAGGAGGAAGTATGAGTGAGTTAAATCTGCCCCCTCGGAAGGGCGTGTACTCACACCGTTAAGAAACAACAGTCCCCGGCAATGATTTACTTAGAAGAACAGTAATAAATGACCAAACATTATTATGAGACTTGTTTGTTTTCAGATAAGAAGGAATTTTGATATTTTTCTTAGACAGAATCAGGCAATGTGAGTTTAGAAACAGTTATGAAGAAATATAGCCAACCCTAAGGAGTCCAAAAGTTTTCACAAAAGGAAGCAAGTTTCAAAAAAATCTTACATTTCTAGAATTGATCTCAAAGCAAAATCTGCACACTTTCTTTAAGACACCCGACTGTGTTCCAAAGGGATTTGCTGGTTCCAAAGCCTAGGAAAAGGGTCCTTAACCTGGTCCGGCTCACAGAGGTTAGAAACAGCTCTGCCAGATAAGCAATGTTGCTGTCTTTACGCATGTGCAGTAAAATTCTTGTTCCACTTCCAAACAGCGTGTGTCCTCTAAATTGCTGGCGTAAGAGTGACAAGCTTCTGCACGGACCACCCCCAATGACTACAAGGAGGCGACCATCATCTCTTTTACAGCACCCCCTTGATGCACCCAAATCTGTAGACAGTCACATGTTCTGTGGAGAGGCTGGGAGCTGGGCTGTGCCTCCTCAGTTATCCAGGGACCTCCTCCACAGATCTTCGGGCTTGTTTCCACCTTGTGGTTACTGTGAATGTGCAGTCACCCACACCAGTTTTCTTAGGAACTGGTTTCAAATCTTTTCAGTGTATATCCAGGGTTAAGACTGCAAGCTCGTAAGGAAAGTCAGGCCTCTCTCCGGAGGGCTGTATCATTTTAATTTCCCACGGAGCCTATAATTAGTGTCTGGTCCACAAACACTCTAAAGCCATTTTCACTTGAATCAGTTTGAGTTTTTGTCTTGTTTTGTTTTTTTGTCTTCGTGGAGTTGTGGATAGTACCTTGTAGTTTCTACTTGCGTTTTTTTTTTTTTGTAACCACGCCCACATCCTGCCTGCTCTTGCCAAGACAAGAAAGCAAAGCTTAATTTTGACAAGCATAACACTGGTGCCTCTAATCTTCAGAAAGAACTTTGTCTCTCTTTCCCATGAGTTGGTTGAAAATCTCTCATTCACAAAATACACCCCAGTTTTTGAGAAAAATGCTCCTCCATTGTAACACAACTGTATAGACTTTGGTCTGGTTAATTTTGGTACAAGGTGCTTTTATTTATTTGCAAGTATTTTTTAAATAAGTTCACTTATTTTTTTTAAATCGGGTGTAGTTCACATTATTTTATGTACTTATTTGATTTTTTGGAAAATTACTATTTATGTATATGTGTGTTTTGCCTCCATGTACATAAGTGGACTACATGTATGCAGTACCCATGGACACCAAAAGAACTCTCTGGAACTGGAGGTACTTTTTTTTTCCAGTTTAAATTTAGATAAGAAACAAGGTTGCTTCACAAGACAGTTCCAGGTCCCTCTCCCTTTCCCTCCCCTCCTCCCTTGCCCTTCCCCCAACCCCCCCTCCCTGTTATCCCCTCATTCCCCCAGGGAGGGTGAGGCCCTCCATGGGGGTGTCCATAGTCTGTCATTTCATATAGGGCAGGGCCTAGACCCTTCCCCAAGAGTTCAGGGTGAGAGTGCACCTCACATTGTTCTATGGGAGTCCAAAGTCCGTGTGTATACTTGGGATGGGTACTGATCTGCTGCCCAAGGCTCAATAGATTACCTAGGTCCTGGAGGTACTTTTATAAACTGTGATGTGGTTGCTGGGAATTAAGCCTGGGTCATCTGAAAAGCAGGTGGGTATTCTAACTAACTAATGAGTCCTATCTCCAGTCCCATAAATTATTTTAAATGATCATAAAAATGAGAATTTGTAATTATTTCAATTATTTTAATATTCAACACATTTTTAATTCTGATAACCAGTTTTGAAAGTGATATTGTTTAATGGAATGCATATATTTTAATTGATAAAGTACTATGTCCATTTCACACAAATGAATTCATATGTGTACCTTGATGTACTATCCTATTGTTTTAAAAATAAACAAAGTCTTTTGAAATTCTGAATAAGCCAGTGTAAGAATTAAAACACACAGATCTGTTGTTATAAGACATATACAGAGAAAGAAATGGAGTATTTGACCTGAATTCACTTGGATCCTAATTTAAGCAGCTTACAACAGCAGCACAGACTTAAAGGCTGTCTTAGGGTTTATGCTGTTGTGATAAAAGACTGTGACCAAAAACATCTTGGGGAGGGAAGGGCTTATTTAAGCTTTCCACTCCCAGGTCACATTCCCTTACTGAAAGAAGGCAGGAACCTAGGGGTAGGAAGTCAAACAAAAGCCATGTATGAATGCCGTTTACTGGCTTGCTCCTCATGACTTGCTCAGCCTACTTTCTGATGAAACCCAGGACCACCTGCCTAGGTTTGGCACCCCCTCGGTGGCCTAGGCCCTCTCACATCAATCACTAATTAAGAAAGTGCAGCACAGGCTTTCCTACAGGCCAATCTTAAGAAAGTAGTTTCTCATTTGGGGTTCCCTCTTCTCAGACAACTTGTGGTATCAAGTTGACACAGCCAACCAGGACAGAGGTACATAATCCAAAAGAGAAAAATGAATGGTAAAATAATGGCGGGTCTTTTGCATGCTATATATGTACCTGATAAATTTTCTAAACTAATAAAGAAACTCAAAAACATGGCAAGATAGAACATAAAAAGACAAATGTATACTTCAACTACCAATAACCACTTCAAAACCAAAATAAACCTATATACCATAGCCTTAAAATAACAAAAACCTAGAAATACATTTTAAAGATGAAGATAAATTTATCCATAATGGATAATTCATAAGTATGAAATTTTATTACTGGAATAAAATAAAATCTAAATGTGTAAAATAGAGTGCATCTTCCCAACTAAGAAGACAGTATCAAAAACATACCAGCATTTCTTCCATTAATGACAGCATTTAATGTAATATACACACAGTCCTAATGCTTGCTTTGATCTGTAGAGCTCAGCAATAACAGTTTTCAAAGGTTTATCTTTAATTGTTAGTTCCCGCGTATCTGAATGGGTGTGTTTGCCGGTCTGTGAAGGTTCCCACAGAGGCAGGAATCAGGAGTTAGGTTCCTGGAGCTGAAGCTCAGGATGGTATGGGCAGCTTGACAGGGGTGGCGGGACCAAACCTGGGTCCTCTGCAAAAGCAGAACTAGTGACTGAGCTTTCTCTCCAGCCTCAGCAGCATAATTTCTAAGTTTTCAGGGAGACTGTATTAGGGAATCACCAACACAATTTGGAAATTAGTAAGTGTGGGGTCTATAACCAATGCCTGCCGCAGAAGCAATCGATGAAAATACAGTGATCCCCGTGAGGGTGGCAAACCTGAAAGTGAGAGGCTGGGAGAAGACAAAAATAAACACAGCAAATTAAGGCCTGATAAAGATGCAAGTCCAACAATGAAACATGAAGTCCTTCCTTGAATAATGTTAGGAGATTGCAGTCCTCATTTAGCAGCAACTAAATTTAGACACCTACACTGTGTAGGGTCAAGTTGTCAAAAAAATATATATATTGTCGGCCTTAGAGGAATTTCAAATGCTCACATAGGAAATGATGTAAACATTCTGATATTTTAGTCTTAGAAACAGCCATATATGTTAAAATTGAGAAGGTTTTAAAGAAAAAGTTTAAACATTTAAAGCAAAGGAAAAAGTTAACCAACTTGCACGACCCAAAATAAAAACCATGTTGATTAAAAGATGAACAGCTGTAGAGCCAACGAGATGGACCCAAGTTCAATCCACAGCACCCACATGGCTGCTCACGGCCACATGTAACTCCAGTTTCAGGCATCCAATGTCCTCTTCTGGTGCTTGTGGGTACATGTGATGCCTGTCCATCAAGGCAGAACATCTTACACATAAAAATAAATAAAAATTAAAAGTTAAACAACTAAGTGAAAACATGCAGCACATATTTGAATGGCTACATGTTAATATTTCTGAACTCTAGAGGCTGGTAGCAATTGGAAAAAATGGTAAAAGGACATCAATAATGCAATTTACCAAGGATAAAATGCAAATGGCCCAACTGCCTGCCGAAACAGAGAGTGAACGCTGAAACAGCTACACAGAATTTTCCATCACCAAAATTAACAAAACCTTAAAAGTTGGGCAGGATCCGGAGCAGAAGAGGACATGGAAAATGAGAACTCTCACATACAACTGACCAAATGATGACGTTTTGAAAGCAATTATCCAAATGCACTAAAGCGTGGTGTGTGCATACCTAGCCCCAGTCACCCTGCTCCCAGGTCTCTGTGCTTCTGAGACAATAGCAGGATTAGAAAGTACTCTGTGTTTAAGAAAGGCCTAAGGGACCAGGCTATCAAGGCACATGCCTTTAGTCCCAGCACTCGGGAGCCAGAGGCAGGCAGATTTCTAAATTCAAGGGCAACCTGACTTACAGAGCGAGTTCCAGGGCTACACAGAGAAAACCTGTGTCAAAAAAAGAAAAAACTAAGAATGATTGGTCCCATCTGGAACTAGATAGCAGTCAATATTTGTGGGTTAGAAGGATATTTAAAACAACACACATTTAAAGGTGGGCATGGTGGCACATGCCTTTAATACCAGCACTCCAAAGACAGAGGTAGGAAAATCTCTGTGAGTTTGAGCCCAGCCTTGTTGGTCTACAGAGCAAGTTCCAGGATAGCCAGGACTACACAGAGAGACTTTGTCTAGAAAAAACAAAAACAAACAAACAAAGTAACCCCCCCACACACACACACATTTAAAACAGCACACTTGTCATTGAAAGGTATGGGAGAAATTGGAGAGGATAGAGTAGGGGTGGATTTGGTCAAAATACATTTTATACATGCATGAGAGTCTCAAACAAAGTTTTTAAAATAATGTTTAAAAGAATATGATACATTTACTGTGGTGATGACAGATCACTTGGTGGAAACTGAAAAAAGAAGATGAAGAAACTTATGCCCAGACTGCTGTGGGGTCTTATTTTAAGAAAGCAGTTCTGAAAGTTTGTAACTACACATACTATTTGTGAGGTAACTCCCCGAAACTGAGAAGGACACAAATCTCCCAGCAGCATTTTTTAAAAAGGAGGTAGAGTACAAGAAAGAAGACAGTGAAGCTTCATTTCATACTATGTTTCACACTCTACTTCCAAAAGCAATACTAAACCCAGCCTGGTGGTTATAAGACACCAGTGAACCACACACCTATCAACAAGCAAGATTTAAAGCAGCACTACTGCACAGTTTTGTGTGAATGGGCAAAGATTTTCTTGGAGAAAAATAAAACTGAAAATAACAAGTATAAATGACAACCCACAGCTCAGTAAGGAATA